TGGGTACTGGATAACAGCATGGAAAAACAACAGGGAATAATGAAGGGTTAAACTGGACACAATCCCTCTCCCAACCCTTAAGCACACTGAGCTGAGGACTTAGGATCTAAGCCTACTGAAACAGGTTTCTATTCTTGCCTCACTTGACATCCTTAGAGAAATCTTGCTCACCTGACACAACAGGGAGATTAAAGACTTCTTTCCACAGCACTTCAGGAACTTACTATTATCTGAGTGTAACAAAGCTTTTTCATGCCACGAAACAGATTTTAAAACCAGCAATATCTGAGTCTCCAGGCTGGCCTGTGGCTTAGCTAAAAATGGAACTTGGAACACTTGAACAATGCTGGAATGTCAAAGTCTTGAAGAGGAAGAAATTCACTTTGAGAGTGGCAGAGGAGCCAGACTCCATCCCACAGAAAAAACATCTGAGGAAGACTCAGGAGCACAACACACATATGAGTTGGAAGATGGAGAAAAGGGAATGGGATGAAGATCCTCCTGAGACAAATGGATTTATCATTAATGTAATTCTTCAGGATGGAAGGATTCATTTGCTAAGGGATAGGAAAAGTGTGAACAGTTATGTAATACATAGGGAAACAGTTGTAGCCCTCAAAGTAGAAAAATGACAACTAGAAATTTCAATATCCTGACTGCCAAAGACATTAAATGTTACAGGGCTGGCAGTGTATTTGACCTGCAAATCCACCAGGATTAGTGACTTCCCAGCCATGCACTCTGTTTACCTTTGCATGGACACTCTACAGACCCAGTTTACCAGATTAACAAATTGACCTCATCACAAGAGGCTGATTCTAAAAGAGTGAGCCACTCATGGGCAGCTATTAGTGATACACAGAAGAACTTTGATACAGGTATTCCCATTTCCCACTTCCCACCCAGGGAAATCTTGCTCCTCATGGGTGTAGAATCAAAAGAAAATGATTGCCAACCAACAACACAGTCATAAAACACAAGAAGGAAACAGAAGATATCAGTACCTTCTGACACACCTCTCTCTCATTTACTTTTACCCTTCCCATTGCACTTTCAGCTCTAAGCCCCAGACAAAACACCCTGTAAAAATTGCAAAAATCCTATTTACAGCTACATCTTAGCTATCCCAGCCCAAGACCTTCCTCGGAGTTAGTCAGACTGTTAGTGGCTTCTGAAGCACTAAATACAAAGATGTTTCTGAAATACCAAATCAAATATGTCTCATTAAAGTGCATATCATGAAATACAAGTCAGGAACACTCTCAGTTACGGTAAAGGTTCAAAACCCCACATACATGGGCAAAAACACAAGCAGCAGGAGATGACTTGATGAACCAAAGGTGAATGATGCTCATTCACTACTACTAAACATGTGATTTATATTTCTTCCCTTTTCCCCAGAAATGCTGCTTCCAAGAGGTCTAAAGCAGCATGAACTAGGCAGCCAGACCAGCCAGCTCAGCTGTAGTTTCTCTTCTCTCTGCTGGAGTAATTTGCCTTTGTGTTTCCAATGTACCATCTGCTTTTTCACAGCTGTGTCTGTATACAACAGCTGCCCACATTTTTAGTGTGGGCTCTTCCCAAGAAAAGGGATTTGGGGAGCAGATACTGATGAAGAAAAGACATTCACTGTTACATTTACTGGTTTTGTCTTTCAACTAAAAAATTCTGTGTTAGTTCTATTAAGAATTGACTAGATCAATCACGTTCAGATGGTTTTGGCTCAGAAAGGCCAAAGCACCTGCTGGACCACAACTTTATCCCAACTGTGCATAAGCTGTCTTTTCCCTAATTCTAACCCAGCTCCACTCTGCCGACCTCTGCCATGGGCACAGGCAGAGCCTGCCTGACCATCTGGACAGCACCTCTAAGCACAGTAATCCCCCTTCGAGATTAGCACCGCACATCTTGTCTGGATTGAGTGGAATTCAGGTAATTCTATGGCCACTGTGTCTCACCAACCAGGCCTCCAAGTGTAACATTTGTGCACTGGCTCAGAGCATATTCATCAAGTTATTTAGCTTGTCTGCATTACATCTGTCTTCAGTATCCATCCATTGACAAGGCACTGATTCCACTGGGAGAGACTGTAACATCACATTTTCCTGGCGCTCCTTTCCATGCTGGAATTCACAGTAGGCAAGCCCTGGAACAGCCACTTTAGGCAACCACAACCATGAACATTCCCAGAGCTCCCCAAAACTGTTTAGAAAGTCCCATTATTAAAATGAACCAGTTGTGAAATCCCTTAAACTACTTTATTCACTTGAAGGAGTGTTTGTGGAATGGGGACCCATTAGCAACAACAGCACTAATTTAATGACAATTACATGGCCTTCTGCCGTGATGTTTAGTTCTTTTGGGCTCATCTGGAAAAAAATGATGCAATTATTTTAATTAAGTGAGAACAGGCTTTGTGACCTGAGTTGTTGAAGTCTTTTCCCTGCAAAGCTGTTATAAACAAATTTTGTCAGTTGTATAAAAATGTCAGCATAAAATGAAGATGTTAAGATTATAAACAGTGCTCTAAGGTCACCTTGTCTCCAACCACCAACTCGTATAAGAAAATGTCCCTACACACTTAATTAAATAAGATCATAAACCCTTTACATTTAAGGGTCTTCCAGTGTTTGACCATCTGTTCAGTGCCATGGGCCATAAACACAGAGAGGGAGATTAAGGTAGGTTGGGAGGAGAGCAATCCATCAATATGACTGCTCCTTCTAGGAAAACCTCTTTAAGAATTCAAGAATCCAAGGGAAAATGGGCACAAGAATGCAAGACAGCTTGAAAGATGTTCAGAAAAGTCACCTGATACTGAAATGCATCACCATAAAGTGATTTTAACTCACAAATTTTACTTCTGTATTTGGGATGAATTTTAATGTATTTTATGTGTATAAATTCAGAACTCTTCTAGACCTTCCTTTTGTGCCATGTACATTCTGAAATGTGTGACAGACTCCCTATTTCCTCAAATATAGACCAGTTTCATGAAAGATGGGAAAAAAAAGGAGCTGCAACAGCTCTAGGAATAACTCAGTCTCTGTCTTCATTCAGTGCTTTTCTCAGCTTCTGACATCCAGGAGACAGCCTTATGAGAATGTTCTTTAAATATACCTTTCAAAAACTTATCGCTCAACAGAACCCAGTGTTGCCCTCAAACTTAAAGCCTTCTGATAATGTTTTCATAATTTTAGTTATTTTCCCATGAAAGTTCTATAAACATAAGTCATTTATCACATTCCTTCTAAGAAATGTCTTTTGATGGATGTTTTGCATGACCAGTGTGCTTGGGAAGGTGGTAACTTAATCATCCAATCCCCGGTCATTGTCAAGAATCTATAAATACTGGAGTCAGAGAATAAAGTGCTTTTTTTCCCGGTTCTAACACTGAGAGACGATCGTGCAAATAATTTCATGTCCTTTAGTGACAACCCAGCATCTGTAAATCTCAGAAACCAATAGCAGGTCTTCATGGAAGCTTGAAAGATGACCACAATTGTGGTTTCCTTTGAGCAGGAACCACCTGCTGTAATCTCTGAGGGGAAGATTACCAGCAGAAAGCAGCACAGAGAGTGCAGGGTGCTGAGCTGGAGCCCACAGCAAGGTCAGGGACTGCAGTTTCACAGTTGATTGCCCAATTTCATTTGATCCAGGATTCAGTAGGGGTTATGTAAATATTCAGGAAGTAAAGTAATTGCTCCTGGGCTCTTACAGGAAATGCGTTTCTATCTTTTACTATGGTTTCCAATACCCACCTCAGTTTGAAACAAAGCATCCTGACAGATTCATTTCTCCCCAGGGCTTAGAGCCAGAAGCAGGCATTTGAAGGCTGATGAAAGTGTCAGTTCACTGGCTAAACAGGAAAAATGGGCTTTCAGGAAAATATTTTACAGAGAGCCACATTTAACAGTGGTCCTGGACTTTGTTCAGTACTGGCAGATCCACATTCACTCCATGTCCAATCACATCATGCCAGAAAATTTAGTTGCTCCCTGCCACATAATGTCTTTAGACCTGCAGAAACCAATGTTGATTATCCCTCTGTAATTCCCTGAAGTGGGAAAGCTTTCCCATGTAGCCCAACTGGATTTACATTCCCCACACAAATGATTGTCAGGGACAGAAGGGATATGAATCACAGCAATCTGCATGTATGGTCCCAGTCAACTTGAACTTGTCCCCTTAACATTAACGTGACATTTTCTTTGCAATCTTTCCCTATTTTTATTTTTTTTTTTTTTTAATCAAATTGAAGATGAGGCATCTGGAAACCATCTCTAATTGAGGGTTAGACCAGCAGAAACAACATCTTCAGCAAAAGGCAAAATCGGGAGCAATGATGCTGGAGAACCAGAGAACTGGAGTATTGATCTTTCCCAGTGAGAGACATTGTGCAAATGCTCTTCCTGGGAGTCTGTAGCAGTTTGGAGGCTGGAATTCTGCAGCCACATCTCATGAGCTGTTCCACTGGAAGATGTTTGCTAACTGCCACATTTTTGAAGGATTTTCCCAGACAAGATGCTTCTTTCAGGACATAGCCCATTCTTCTCCCAATAGCACTGACAGTATCAGTTGTTTCTTTAGTGATAGCTGAACATTTCAGAATTACTGGGAGCAAGGAATAGTTTGGATCATCATCAGTGGCTCCTCAGCTTCTAGTCAGCCAGAACCCATTAAAAAAGGAACTCTTTTCCCTTTTCCAGCAAGTCACTGGAACATCAAAGCCCTGAGAGCCTGGATGTTGGTGCCTCTCGCTTTGTTTGAATAGACCTACGAAGGCTCCTGGAGGCTTCCATACACTTGGATGGCTGACTTCATTTGCATCATGGCTTCTTTTATATCTAAGTGGGAGGAGAATCCCATTTCTTTTTAATGCTACAGATGCCAGCAAGAAGGTGGAGCCCTTTAAAAAGAACCTTCATGTAACCCCCCGCCTGTGGCTTCAGCCCATGGAATCTCTGCTCTTTTCAGTTACCCCATTTGTTTTCCAGGTGTTTCTACTCGCTGGCTTAGAACGACACCATCTGGCTAAAACACCAAGCCGGTTTAATCACAAACACTGATTCATTCAATCTCAGCCTCAGCAGTTTCCTACGGCAAGCAAGGAATAAACCTGGTAACTGCTACCTGGATGATCTCCAGGGAGATAGATCCTCAGGTGAGAGCCTCTCTCTCTCGTTCCTGTTTTCAGAACTTGGAAACTGAACCCAGTAGGAAGAAGCCAAAAGGACTTTGGGTGACACAATTCCTGCTCCATCACACCTTCCCTGAGGATCTTCTCTCTTTAAAATACAAATGCACACTGGTCCATCAGGTTTCAGAGAACAATAACTGGATCAGGAATACTCAGGCTGTCCCATTATGACATTTTCAAACTATTCTGGTTTTCAGTCCTGAAACATTTCTGTTAGAAAATGCAATCATTAAAAATATGTTAAGGCTCTCCCCTGCTGGAGGGCAGGGTGACATGGGATATTGGGAAGGAATTGTTCCCTGTGAGTGTGGTAAGGCCCTGGCACAGGATGCCCAGAGAAGCTGTGGCTGTCCCATCCCTGGAAATGTCCAAGGCCAGGTTGGACAGGGTTGGACCTGGATTAGCAGAAGGTGTCCCTGCCATGGTAGGGGGATGAAACAAGACAATATTTTAGGTCCCTTCCAACCCAAACCATTCCACAATTCTATGATAAATGTACCCCTTCAGCCCACTCAATCAAAAACTTGAGGATTTACAGGTTATGAAGATTTAAGAAAACCACATTCTTTCCTTGGAATGAGAAAAGTTCTTGCAGAAACCAGGAAATAGTTTCTCCCTATTTAGCACATTTTTCAATTAAAGCTTCCATGGTACCAAATCTCCAGCCTCTATGCCAGCAATATGGTACAGATAAATAAATTCTTATGCCAAGTTTTAAAATCTGCTTTTTTGCTTTTTAAATAAATATTGACAATGCCCAAATGCATCTCATCATCTCTGCTTTATTCTTAACAAATCTCCAAGAAAATATTGGTTAACATTTGTCTGTTGCTGTGATGCATGCACATGGAGACTCTCTCATTATTTACCTGAATAGTTTGCATACTTCTCAGATTCCTTAAATCCATCACAGCCTAGAAGTATTCTTAGATTTGATATTAATTTCATCAATAAATAAAAAAAAATTCCCAAAATGGTCATAAACCATGGAAAAAACAGTTGCCACTTCTATGTACAATAGAAGCTTTTCCTATGTGATATTCTATGGTCACCCTCTTCTTTTTTTAATTACAGTTCTGCTATAGAATGGGACCTTTTAAAGTCAATTTGCTGTGATTTTCACATCCACATCCTTCTTCAGTTACTGGAGTAGTATTTGATGCAGTGATGAATGACTGCACAGGTATAGCCACACCACTCTGAGTTACCTGTTGTCCTCTTCTCAGTGAATGGCATTGCTGGAGCTCATTTGTGGTATTTTAATAACAAAGACATGGCGAAGCCAAAACAGAGCCCCCAGGTACAAGGTTTGGTTCTGACACCTAAACACCAAGTTAGAGCCAACCATTTTTCCACTTTGGTAAAGTTTTCATCTAGAAATGATTTTTAGAAAAGAAGAGAGAACTTTAAGGAGTGCTTCCTTCAAAAGGGATTGAGGAATGTGGCACTAAGCATTGATTAGTTGAAAACACAGGGACTGAGGGATGCTGCTCTGCCTTCCCAAAGACACCAAGGTGTGTGATCAGTGTCCAGAGCAGCTTTTCTACCCAAATACATCCTTCTTTACTTGTTGCATAACTCCTGTAAAACCACAAGCCTAACAGGCATACAATACAGAATGCATAGAGACAAGCAACCAGTCACTGGAGTCAATTAAAATACATCACAGGGAAGGGTTTCTCTCACTGGGCTTTTCCTGAGTAAATCAACAAGGAAATAAGGCTTTTAAAAATAAAAACTGTGCTTTTGACAATTGGTCTCAAGTTCACAGATTCCTTCAGCAGCTATCAGTAGAGGGGGGATGAGCTCCAAGTTCAGCATGCAGGACACTGCAGTATACTTTTCCCAGCTCAAGGCACTTCCCTGACTTCATCCCTGGTTTAATCCCACCAGGACAACTTCAACTCCAACTGATTCTGTGCAGTCTTCTTGTTGGATGGGTGTAAAGAAACTACATCTACTACAGAGCAAGTCATCTGTTTTAAAAAATTTTTAAAATACAGCTGACTCACAACAGTACTGGAGTCTCTTTTCTCTCTTCTAATGTGGGTAGCAGAAGGTCTCTGGTTAAAAATAGAAAGCCTTTCTTATGGTGACAGCAGCTAGTTAAGCAAGCAGAAAAAGAACATGAACATACCTGGTGCACTCCTTCGTTGCACACTTTATGCAAGAGGAAACAGCCATTAGAGATACATTCATTATTTAAGCTTTAGTGATAGTAGGAAGCAAAGGTAGCAAAAGCTCCCTTAAGAACCTGCTGTATTTGTTTAAAGCATTTAAGTTTGAATTAACAGAAAAGAAGTGTCCAAGGAAGCTTTGTAAACTACACTTCACAGTAAAACTAATTTCTCTCAGAAAGGTGGTTAAAATAAACATTTTTCCCTTACCTTTTTCTGGGCTGAGGCATTTAATTGTGCTTGCATCATCCATATTCCAGTGAGAGACTCAAGTGAAAACACCAGAGGAAGCAGCAAAGACCATATGCGCATCCCTGATCTTTCAAAAGACTCTTTTAAAGAATGAGGAAAAGAACATTGCCCATTGGTTTCACTGCAGCATCCGAGGGCTCCTAGAGATGCCTGCTGCCTGTGCTCTGAGCAGGCTCATCCTTTATTCCCTGTGCAGGAGTGCATCAGGAGCTGCTGGCAGGTAGAAACCAGCGCAGGAGCTCAATGAATGTTCCCAGCCTTTCCCTTCGACTCAAGTGTTCAGCCACCTGGGATAACTGTTTGTTAACTCTTTGCCTCCCTGCTCTCAGACAGGACGTGGGGATGTCTTTTGCTTTACTCCCTCAGAAAAGAACTGAAAGGAAAAATTGTCAATTTCAGCAAAGAAGCACAGAGGATAATTCAGTTTTGATTCCTCTGGGATGTATTGCAGTAGGCAGCAAACATCAGTGAGGTGCTACTTCATTTAAGAAGGGAAAAAAAGACAACATCTTTTTTATGTTAATGCCTCCCGTGTGTCCATTCAGCATCCTACACATTGTTTATAGGATCCTCCCAGACTTGCTTCAGTTTAGAAAGCAAGTCTACAGCTACTGATAAAAATAGGCAAGCTCTTCTCTCTGGATTTCTTTCTAATTCCTTTTCTTGGCAAAGATGATGTATTTCCCACCTTTTTAACTTGCAAGGAAATATTAATGCAGAATTAATGGGATATGGATAGGAAACACTGCACATTATTGTAGTCTGTGTCCCAAAGCACAATGCAGGAGAAGGTAGACACAGACCTTTGAGTTCTGTCTAAATCCTGGAGAAGAATTTCAACATCTTTGTATGAGGGTGCTGCCTGAAAATTTCAACCAGGAATAGTTCCTGGCCCTCCTACATGCCACTGAAATACACAGGATAAAACAATTTGTTCCATTGAGGACCTGAAATCTAATTAAAAAGGAATGATAAAGGATTGGAAAAAAGTCAGTCTCCTTCAGGAAAGAAACTGATGCTGGGGGCGGGTAACCAGGATCACAGTATCCTGCCCAACACCCAGGGCATATCTGCCATGGAGCCCTGCAGGCAGTGACCCCTCATAGCTTCATCAGGCAGTGCTGCCCTGGATCCTCTCCCCACCTAGCTGCAGGAACTGAAGCCAATCTGTTTGTGCTGTTTGACGTTGCCCTCTTGCCTTGTACCTCCTCATCCTGACCTACTTCAGCACATGAGGTGCTGTGTAATGCTCACAAAGTCACCTTTCTCCCACCTCACTCAGGCTCTCCACACTGGGAATGCTGACTCTCATTCATAGCTCACAGCTGCTGCAGCTGGATTGTCCTGCTGTTTCCATCCTACATCATCTTTGCATTTTAGGTATCAGTTGCCATTGCAGAAAGATCAAGATCTGATACAACCCTCTACAGCTTTAATTTAATTTAGGCATGAATCCCATGGTTCTTGCCATCTAAAGAATGACTCCAGGATTTGGCTCAAGTTTACTTTCAGTAAAACATTATCCTATTTGCTTAGCAGCTTTCAGCTCTAGCTATGTTCCCTGAGGTCTCAGCTCCTGAGCAACCCATCCAGGAGCACTTGAGAAGCACTTACTGCAGGAGCCTCTGGAGCCTCGTGTATTTTCATCACATTACATTTGGGTAATTCCTCTTGCAGCCACTGTGTTTTAACACAGGCTTATCAGGGTGAACGCTGTGGAGAATGCGCCAGGTTTATCCTAAAAGTAATTCTCATTTCTGTTCTTATTTCCTGTTGGCAGGTGCAGGTTATCAACACATCTTTGTCTCATATCAGAAGGGAGAAGAAGATGGGCAAGTGCTGAGGCCCAGAAAATGCCTATCAGACAACTTCTCTGGGGAGTCCCATGGCAGGAAATCTTCACACTGCAGGGTAGGCTAACTTCATTGCTAGGGACAAGTCTCCCATTTAACACCACCTATTCCTCACAACCTAATCAAGAGACAGAGCAAATTTAAAGATAACAGCTAAGGATGATCAACTAATTCACTAATTACCCAATCAAATTGAGCAAAGCTTGTTGCTTTACTAGGCTATGCTTTCTTTAGAAAGAAAATATACTCCTATCTGAGACCATCAGAGATTCGAATCTGTACCTAATTACTGTATGATATCGGTTTCATAAATGAAATGTTTTGTTTCTCTGGGTTTTTTTTTTTTATATACTGTTAGAACAGGGTCACAGAACAAACGTCAGAGAAACATTTGAATGCCTTCATAACACATGCAAAATTTTTGAAATAAAGAGAACACAGACTGTGCTATCATTGAGACCAAAGCATTTTACAGTAAAAGATTCTCTTATTCCAAGTAATGTCTAGTCTAAACCAGGATTTTTTTCTGAGCAAAGACAATCTGCTGACTCTTGAGATCAATGACTAACATTTATCTGGCTTTCATGTACTCTGATTCACACCAGAAGTTCGTATGTGACTGGGAAAGGTCACCAGCACTCCAGTTTGGAGAGTACAATGCTGGCATGGAGCAAACCTACGCTGTTGTCGGTTCCATATTACACAAAGCATAGCATGCCCTAATTCCTTCATCCTCCATTCCCAGCACTCCAGCTCTAACAACCAGAGCAGAAGAGTGTGGTGTGGTGCTGTGGCATCACAAAGGTTTAAGTCCTAAGAAGGTACTAAAAGGGGCCAGGAATTCTTTCAATTCCTGCTTTCCAAAATATGCAGAGGAAGCCCAAAGCGATGCTACTGAGCAGCTGACCCTGGTTAGAAGAGCTGAGCCATGACCTGACAAAGATCTGCCCTTGCTGTGTGGCTGCACTGTCCATACAGGAACCTGAGCTATCCCAGACCTCTGCCACAGCCACAGCACCATCCTGGCTGCCTGGGAAAGGAACGGGGTAATTCCAGAGAAACAGCACAAACCACCCAAGCTTCAACTGAGCTCAGCTTTGTCAGGTCACAGTGGCACACACTATAAGGCTACATTATGATTTACTACACATTCACCTACACATACATCCTTCATCCCAAGGCCCCAGCTGACACGTTTTATCACATTCTAAGATCTATTTCCTGACAGAAGTAACAGAGATCTTGTTTCCCAGTACAGAGGAGGAGTGTTAGCACTGCTGTGGACAGAATGAGCCAGATGGGAAATGCAGCACCACCATGTTACACCATGGTTAAGTGGAGAATGGAGCATCCGCAATGCCAGGGATGTTCTAAACAACTTCTGAAAGTTGAACACTGTGCCCTTGTTGAAAGCCATCAAACTCCATCCAGAGAGTTTCATCTCTCACAATCTATGGCATCACTTCAAGACCTTCCATAAATCAACTTCAACACATGTGGGTGTCTGTTCTTAAGTTTTTGTTCCCATGGTTACCAATGTACTTTACCACAGAAGAGAACAGCAGGTGGCAAGACATAGAACAAAATCACCATTCTTTGAACATATGAAGAGTTGGGAAGTTTCAAATTAAGGTTTTATTGTGAAATGTTTCCAGACAGTAACCAAGATGAACACTATCTGATTAGAAAACTATAAGATCCTGAGTCAACAATAAATTCAACATCCAATAGCATGATAAATTTCCAGCCCTGCATCAGATAATGCCATGGGATTACACAATCTAGTGCAGCAGTAGTTTTGTCTTTGCAATTTGAAATTCTCCCTAGGTCTCCTTGATACCTTCCCATGTACTTTCTACAGAGAAAAGGTAAAGAGCCCAGCACACTGTGTATAAGATAGATTTCTCCAAACAAAATTATCTTTGTGGGGTAGAAACAGCAAAAACAACCACCGACAGTCTGTTCAACTAAAACAACAATTGACTTGAAGACTGCTATCAAAGCTTTCACAGCTTGCAAGTAATAACTTCTCCATTGTCAACTCAAATAGAGGGCAAAACAACTGGCATTGAATGTGCTGTAAATACCAAGGGGATGCTTTGCATAAATAAGTTTTGTGACTTTTTCTATAATAAAATCAGACACAATGGTAGTGCGTTCTGTCCATTGCCTTCTGCTTCTTCTCAGGCAGAGGAACAAAGGTAATGTCCTTCTCATCAGCACTACAGGCTCACATCCTGTCACACATGCCTAACAGCAGGACAGGAATCACAATTTAACAGCTAAATTGTACCTGCTCCTGAAACCCTCTGCCACTGACCAGCTCACCACCCTGGGGCTCACCAGCCTGTTTATAACACAGAGATAACTACCATTCCTTTGGCTCTCAGAGATATCAGCCATGCCTTTGGCCCTCCTTGTTGCACTGAGAATCAGGCCTTTCAATACTGTTTTCATAATTTCTATCCACTTTCCCAGGAAAGTAACTATAAACATAGATGTTGTCATGGAGTTACTTTACCTCTAAGGGAGTTGGAGTTGCTGGGAAGTGCTTGGAGTCTTTTCTCCTGACCAATTATCGGTCATTGCTGGGAATTGACAGCAGTTTAGGCCATTGAAAAGTGGGATCAACTTGTGAACCCTACCTTAAAATGTAAAAGCAGAGCTCTCTGGGCTCTCTTTGTTTTCCTGGCTGTGGAGGGTGGCGGAGCTCCAGGCCTCCCGTTCCTGCCCAGGCCATGCGGCCGGGCGGGGATGGGGCCGGGCCTGCCCCGTCTCCCGGCCGGGAGATGGGGGGGCCTGGGGAAGGTTTTCCCCGGGCCCGGCCGGGCCGAGCCGATCTCTGGCTCAGCTGCAGGTTTTGCGGTAACTAATTCACTAGAAACTGCCCAGTGAAGAAAGAGAGAGGCCCTGGACTTGCAGCGGGCTGGAGCAGCGACTACACGCTCCAGAGCAGCTATGAAGAACCTTCCATCACAGACGGCTCCAGCTCCTGTTCGGCAGAGATCTCCGAACCATCTACAAAAGCCTGGGCAAGATTTTAACTCCTTCATTACCCAGATGAGACTTGCAGATTAATCTTCTTATCCAGAGAGAGAGAGAGAGATCAACATGAAAAGAGACTTTATAAGCTACCAGTGACAGGAAAGAAAAGAAGCTTCAGGAAAGGTAGAGAATTAAGAAATGCTTTAATTAAGCTGAAATATCTTTCTGTTAAAACTATGGAGATGGACAATGAAGTTCTGAAAAGAACTCCTTTAATTCATGATACAGGATCTAGAGAGGAATAGTGTTCAAAGTGTAAATGGGAGTAAAGAGTAATTATAGTATAGTGAAGTGCTGGGAGATTTGAAGCCTTGAGAGGCAATGAGAAAACTGTTGAGAGATTTGAAGCCTTGGGAGGCCATGAGAAAACTGTTAGGAGATTTGAAGCCTTGAAAGGCAATGAGAGAACTGTTTTCTGGTGAAGCTCACAGAAACAGATGAAGAAGACTTTTTTGCCTTTGAATAACTTATCCTTAAAAATGCTGTCTCTAGACTCATGGCCCCATACATACTTCAGAGTGATGTGAAAATGGGAGGAGTGAACTCTAATAATAGCAGCTCTGAGCAGCTAACATTAGGGCAATGGAAAACTATAACAAAATAGTTTTCTTGTGAGAAACTCCATAAATTAACAGGAAGAAACTTCTGTTTCTCTACAAAGACTGGTGAAAAGACTGTAGCAAGAATTGGGACTGTTTTAACCATCAAAGTTCCAGAGTTTTTGTCTCTGTTGTCATGTGAACAAGGAAATAGTGGGTAGATAGGGGATGGAAAGGTTTTTCTGGAAGTTTATTCTGGTATTCTTATTATTGTAGTTTGTCAATAAACTTTTTTTTTCCCGTTTAAGTTGTATGCCTGTTTTGCTCTTGTTCTAATCCATATCTCACAGCAAGAAGTAAGTAATTTTCTTAGTTATTAGTTTAAAACCACGACAGATGTTTATACATTCCATTAAAGATATGCCTTTTGATGGATGTCTCTCACAGCCAGTGTGATTGGGAAGGTGGTGACCTGACTATCCAATCCCTGGTCATTGTCAAAAATCTATAAATACTGAAAGGACAGAATAAACCTTCTTCTTTCATCACACTTCGAGCAGTGTCTATATGAATCATTTCATGTCCAACAGTGACACTCCCTTTCATTCCCCTTCTCCCAAACTTCTATTCAACACTAGAAGGAAAGAGAACACTTAGAAAGTTGTTCAGAGTTAAGCTGGTTTAACCTGTTCTTTTCACCACAGTTTCAGAATAAACAACATTTACAATATTATTTCAGTCTTAGATCTTTTTCTCATTTGGAGATTGGAAGAACTAAAGGGTTTTGGTGGCCTATTTTCTTATAGATCCATAAATCATCTTGGCTGTTTGAGGTTTTTGAAGAACACACATTCTTCCAAGAAAATCTGTTTTACATAAGATGGGAAGATGCTTGTGTCTAGCAGAGAAGGGGGAAAGGCAGTAATGAAAGAAGGCAAAACCAGTTTCAGATAGATCTTGGGGTCTTGGAAAGCCTTTAGAAGTAAAGCTGAGCTTCCGCCAGACTGAACTAGTTCTGAGTTCTCAACCACTTCAGTGACGAGAGTAGTCCACAGCAACACAACCCCAGCCCCACACACACCATGAGCCTCTCTGCTGCACTTTTATTTTCTGCAGTGTTTTAAAAAAAAGTTTTCAACATTTTTTTCAAACTTCTAACAATCTGAAAATGAGGGAAAGATCACTGGCTGAACTGATTTGTTTAAACAAAAGCACTTCAGTAAGTAGCTTATACTGTGTGCAGGTGATAAAATCTGGAGGTACTGCAGTGACAGCTGCAGACAGACAGATGCGTTTGCTGCTAAAATTCCTGCTACTTCTTTTCAGATCACTAAGAGGAAAATGTAAAAATCCTTTGGTTTGCTGGTCCTCTTTGTCCCTCCAAGCTTTATAACTGAAAAGTCAAACTGTGTTATATCTTGCTGCACAATTGCTCTCATTGTGGTTTCATTAAATATCTGACAAACTACAAGCAGCCCACGGGCACCGCTGAAAGCTTGCAGTATGAGTGTATGGCTCTGGCAGTGCCTCACCTGCAGCCAGAGCTGTTTCCCAAATGTAGGAATTCTGTACAGCTGGAGCTGGCAGGCAAACACCCACCTGCCCTTGGGAACTGGACACGTTAGGGCAGGCAGATCTTCCAGGTATCCTAGGAAGTAGTTGTGTTTGAAGTATGATCCTAGAGATTATGTCCCCTCCCTGTGACTGTAGTTCCTCCCTCACAATACTTTCCCAGTCTTTTCTAGTTTTGTCAATTCCTCCCATGAGGTGCTAAAGCTCAGTTACTCCAGTGGGTCAGGTTATCCCAGATGCATCCAAGCAACAGAGACACAGCTCACAAAGATTAATGTTAAATTTCCTCATATCTCTTTCTGTTTCCCCATGCAATCGTTTCCTCCCCTTAAAAATAGAAATGCATTAATATTCTTGCTTGAGTGCAGCCCAGCACAGCTACTTTATTCCATGTTTCTGCTGTTAGTAGTGGAGTGAACCTGCTCACAGCTCCCTGTTCCTGGTGCTGTTACTGCTTTTGACATATTTCCACCCTGCAGCCCATCGTCTGCAAACCTGTGCTGCCTCTGAGAATCCAGTGTCAGCACTGTGGGAGAGCTATGGAAAAGGCACAAAACAACCACAACCAGAAGAGAATCATGGCTACCTGAACAACATGGATTGTCCCTATGAACAGATAATAACCTACTTCAGGGTAAATCACATCTTTGGTGTGTGCTGAGAACAAGATATGAGATACCCAAGACAGGAATGGAGCAAAGAAATAAATTAATCATTTCATTTTTCAGCAGACAGCACTCTGACACGTACAACAAAATCTCCTGAGCTAATTCTCTTCCGAAAATCAAAACTTGCAATTCATCCAGTCACAACTGTGACATGGATTTCTGAGCACAGACACAGTTCTCAGACAGTTGAGCCATGAAAAACGCACAGTGGGGTGGAATCGATTACTAATTAGTAATAGAAGACACATATGCTTGCATCCATAGAAAACAGCTGTGCTGCACTCTGCTCCATTATCCCAAATAAATTGGAAAAGATAAATGCATTGCTCTGTGCAGGCACAAAGTAGGTGAGGCATTCATGCCGTGTTAAACTTTCCAGACACTTGAAGGTGTTTGAAATTATAATGCATGTTAAATTTAAGCAGATTTATTATCCACGTGTTCCAAATGTAATGAACACTTCACTGCCTCATATTCCCTGCTTTAGAAATACCAGATTTTCTAGACTGAGCACACACGTTCGTCTTGTGTAGGTCTAATACAAAACTTTTAATCATACAGATGCTCTGAAGCAACAATTAATGCCTAATTTTAAACATTTTCCTATGTATTTATGTACACACAACTTCAAGTGCCCACACGAGCAGGTACAATAAAAGATTTCCATAATA